TTGGGTATTTCCAGTTTGGGTGGAGGTAGGACAGCCTCGGCAAACTCTCCCCTGCTGCCTTTGAGCTCGAAAAACGTCTTCCCAAGGTCAGTTTCTGTTGTTTCTCAACCTTAGTTGCGAGGTGAACCACCTCTTCAAGGTCAACAAAGTATCTGAGCTCGACCTCGTGTCAAACATCACGATTCAAACCATGTAAGAAACGGGCGATTGTAGCCTCTCTGTCTTCACGCACGTCTGCTCGGAGTAAGAGCAACTCTAGCTCTCGTAAATACTCCTCGACACTTCGCGATCCCTAATGAATGTTTTGTAAAGAATCATGGAGATCACGTAAGTAGTATGCTGGCACAAAGCGCTCTCTCATTAGCCCGTGCAATTCATCCCATGTAGCCACGGGGTCATGTAAGTTTCGTCGGCGACGGACTTGCAATTGCTCCAACCATTGGGCAGCGTAGTCCACAAACTCTTACGTGACCATCGCCAACTTCTGTTGTTCGCGGAATTGACCACATTGAAAGAAGAGGACGACCTTTAATTTCTTTCCCAGTCCAAATATGCCGCAGCACTCATTGCTCCTTGAAACTCTGGAATTGTCAATTTGATTCCCTGAGAAATTGTGTCTCCATATGACATTACGTTAATGTTCATGACTTTATGGTGCGATTTGGGATTCTTTGACTTTGTATCTTTTTTATTTACTAAGATTTACAAAGATTTAGGCAGTCAAAATTATTCATGCATGATAACACCTAAGCCAGGTGTTGGTTTCACAATCCGAACTTGAAGAACCAAGCTCTTCAACGCGACCGAGAAATTGGTTTGCCAACAACAAGAAAAAGGATGGAACTCTTGTGCAATCCTACACCTGGAGGAAGGCTCAAGAAGTATTCGTCGAAGCTCGCCCACGATCAAGGTGGTTTTGATCGATACAAGAGCAGAATCGATATTGGTTTTCTCGGCCAAACTCTCATCCAAAAACTATAGCTACAAGACTTAGGTTTTAGGGTTTTTCCTTCTGTATTCAACTTAACTGCCATTACAATACTTACGCAGGACTTAAATAGACTTACAAATAGTCTGGAATGCAAAAGAAACCAAAACAAACAAGGTAATCCAAAACAGTCCCAATTCTAATACAAAACGGAAACTTAAAATGCAAGTAACTAGCTGGTGTCGATGTCAACTTGGAGACCCTCGTTCTCCGTACTCCTGCTTCCGATTGGATCACCCAATACCTTGTTTCTGTACTAGAAAATGCGAAATTTCATGTGGACTAAACATTGATGTCAGATTCCCAGCCGTTCGTCGTGCCCTGAGCTTCAAAGTGGCCTTCTCGAAACTGTCCCATGCCTTAGGCAAAAACTAGCAGTTTGCCTGTGTTGTGATAGACTTTTGATGAGCTCGAAAACCACTCTTCCCAGCATCAACTCGAGCTCCTAGACACTCCACATTGCAAAGGGAGTTACCATCTACAAAACAAACCTTCCAAACCCCATTTTCATCCATCCAATCGAGAGAACTATACTTGCAAAGAGGGCTACCGAAACAGCTTCCATACTTAACCAAAATCCCAGGTCTTTCCAGCAAGTTGAATTGGGTTCTTGACTCAACAATTTCCACTTGTAGATTGATCCGTTTGGGATCATATCAATGCATGTTGGATTTTATGTTTTAAGGCAAAAAACAATTTTTTTTCCTCATTTATTTGTTCAATTTTTAGTGTGGTTGACTTAACAAAGTGTTCATTTTTTATTCAATATGGTCCGTCTGGACCAGACCGTACCGGACCAGACCGCACAGGCGTGGTCTGGTCTGGACCGTATAGTATGTGATCTGATCTCTGGTCTATACTTTAATCTCTCGGTCTAGACCGTATACCGTCTATATGGTCTGTTCTAGACCGCACCGTTTCCCAGCCCTACATCATACTAGCAACCATCATTGCCATCTCTCTATCCTTCCACCCTCACACAGCAACAGCCTCAGGGGTTGAAGGGGACGATGATGTGGAGTACTACATCCTCGGAAAAAGACCAAGACGAGTCTCCGGTCTCGGAGCCTGTTCCTTAACAAGAGGATCAAGAAAGGGATGCTCTGCTCACCCCGCGGCAGCAACCTATGCTCTTTAGAAATGGCTAGCTTAACTTGTATGCTCTTGATATGAACATATGAATATCAAGATCTGTTCTAGACACTCTGATATTTAGTTAGAACCGTGTTTTCTCTTGCTTAATGATTTGTAAAAGCGGAAATGGATAATGAGATGGCCAATTATTAGTACTTTTTTGCTTTTCCATTTGTGCAATTTCTACTTTTGATTGAGTTCTACCATATAATGATTCTATTAAATTAATATATAAAAGCGTAGGTTGTGAGTTACTATTTATCAGTGGCTCTCACACTCTTCTAATTGCAAGTGGGGAAGTTCCAAGTTGCTTCTTTTACCCCACTCTTCATTTTATAACCTTTGTGTTTAGCTATTCTTCACTAGGTTTATATCTATTGTAACTTGAACCCATTTTCTAACTTGAACCCAAGGCCGCTACCACGAGTTTTGTATCGGGACCGAGTTTCATCCTCTTTAGTGTTTTTTTTTTCTTCTTTTTTTCCTTTCTGGCTTTAGTATTTATGAATTTCTCTTTTTTTCTTTTCTTGGGAAGACAATTAAACCCGAATCTAAAGTATTAACGAGTGTTGTATTGTGAGAGCGTTTTATCCGCTTTTGTAGTTGGCACGTAGAACCAAGTGTTAATTTGTTAAAAAATTGGTCAAATCGGGTTGAACACGTTGTTGACCAGTTTTAGATCGAAAGCTAGATTTGTACGATTTAATGTTTTTTTATTTCTCATTTTCCGTTTCCATGAGAATGACAATTGAACTCTGGCCCATTGTTGATGAGCTTCGTATCGAGAGCGAGTTTTATCCCCTTTTGGAATTGACATGTTGGGTAAATTGTGAATTTGTTAAAACTGGGTCGACCCAATCAAAGCGAGTTGAACGCAGTGTTGAGAGTTTAGGGTCGTGAGTGAGTTTTATCCACTTTAGTATTTTTTATCTTTTTTCTTTTGGTTGAGAATGACAATTGAGTCCACATGAATATCCAATCTAATTCGACCCGACCAAAGCGACTTGAACCTGGTGTTTACAAGTTTTTGGCGGGATCGAGTTTTATATGGTTTTGTAATTGGTGGGTTGTGTTAGGTGTGAATTTGCTCGAAACTCGGTTCCACCAAGTCAAAGCGAGTTGAACCTGGTGTTGATGACTTTTGAGTCGGTAGCGAGTTTTACTTTTAGTGTTTTTCATTTCGCCTTTTCCTTTTGTTTGAGAAAGACAATTGAACCCAAATCCATGGGCATCCAACCTAAGTTGACCCGACCAATGCGAGTTGAATCTTCTCAAACCTGCAATCAGTCCCAAAAGTTCATAAACGAGAACCACGATTACTTCAAACCCAAAAAAAAAAAGCCAAAAGAGTACGACTATATTACCTTAAAACTATTACTCTTTAAAATATTTATTTTTATGATACGCGAAGCCATAGCGAGTGGGCTTTTGCTAGTATATGTTAAAGGAAAACGGAGACGATTTTACTACGCCTTTTGATGTCGTACATACGAAATTCAATAGAGGAACCTTGGCAGAGAATCCCCTCCGATATTAGCCTCTTTGCTGCAGAATCATCTTCCATATTATTGAATTCATTGAATGATCATCATAAAACCATAATCAGCTATTTGGAGAATTGGTGGGTATTAACGGGTAACCCGTGTGTACCCATTGTAAAACTTCTAGATCTCCTCCATAAGCAGAGCCTAAGCTTTCTATCGTCAAGAGGTCCTCGACCTTCACGATTTCATGTAGCTTGTTTCTTGTAGTTGGATCCATCTACTATTCTGACAAATCTTGATGTCGACCAGGTTCTGATACTACTGTAAGAACTACGTATATAATCATCTCTATCTAGGGTCTGGAAATTGAGAATAATAAGGATTGGGAATTAAGGAAGAAAAAAGAAATTTGAGGAAGAAAGAAGAATAATTCGGCTTCTAGAAGGGAGGGAGGCCGACGGCCGAGAGGGAGGAGTTTAGGCTGAGAGAAGGAGAAATTAGGTTTAGGGAAATAATTATTCTGTAATTGTTTCAAAGTCATAAAACATACACAATTTAACAAACTCATTCAAATAGCAAAAATACTAAAAAAAAACTGTGTTTTTAACAATGAATTTGTTGACCAAGGTCATGTCCATCAGCAAACATGGATTTCTATCTTGGAAATGAATGTAGAGAAATTATCGTCGATTGGAGGTAATTAAGGTATTTGTATAGTTGTTCAATTTTCTACCTGTTCCTATTTGGTTGTGAGGGTTATAGCAATACAAAACTTCATTCTACACCATGAACAGAATGAATCACGTCATCCGGGTACTATTTACAATTTGTGTTGATTCTTTGTTTATTGTGAACACCTCCTCCTCTGTTCTTTTCGTCTTTTGTGGATCATGAATATCTTTGTGATATCATCTTCTCCCTTTTGTTGTTGCATGCGTAAACGGCAGCAGACTGAGTGGGGGTTGGCAGCGATAGTAGTAGATACGTGGAGAGAGCCGCCGCCTCCTTGAATATATTCATTCCATTGCTGCATTGCATGCATCACAACAGCAGCAGTTTCCTCCTTCCATCCATTAATCGGCTGCCACACTTTCTGCCGCTAAATAGTAACTGGTTTGTTTTCAAGTTAATTGGAGGGACGAACATTCCCACCTGCTAAGGCACCACCTTCCACCTTGAAAACAAAATGGCACTATCAAAGCTACAGAAACCTTCCCGGTTGAAGTTGATTCATCCATTCGCAGTTTCCCAATATGCAGGTTTACCACCCCCTACTACTATTAGTTCCGCAGTTGTAGATGTCCGGCAAACTTTAATTAGTGTTCGTGTTAGCACCCTCCCGGTTTATGGATGAATCTAACATTGTAGATGATTTGAAGATGAGCATAATATCAGGACAACATGAGCATTCATTTGGCTCGAATCTGGAGATTGTTTTCATAATTTACACGAGGATATATGATTAACATAAACACACCTGAAGTCGAGAGGCAAACAACCTTTTTAACAGCAAACTAGGTACCTGAAACTCATGGATGTAATCATACAAAATACGGGAGGGCTCCAAAATTCCAACATATAAACGTAGCCACTGTATCAAATCCAACCACAATCATGTTCACCTAGTAAGATAGTAGACAATTAGGAATACCACCACAAACGATGCGACCAGAGTAAGCATTCTCCTGCTTGATTTTGTTTCAAATACCTAAGCCACATCAAACCACAATCATCAGCAAATTCTAGCAAGTAGCTACGTTTTAGGTAAGGTAGATACCAAAAGCAAATCAATCTCTTATTGCAAAAGCGATCAAGCGTGCACACACCATCTTGAAACGATCCATTGTTCCTGATAGGACTCCTCTGGATGAATCCATATCGTTGCCCTGAATGCACACAATCGGAGGTTACTACGTTGTTAAACACAATATAGGGTACAGACCATCCCATGGGAATTTTACGACTGAAGGATGATTACCATTCTGTCCAGCATGAGGTTGTGCCCTTCCACCTCTTCATTTATATCACCGGACAGCTACAAATGTCAAACATTCGTTTGGGATGCCGCCAAATTTCCAAAAAAACAAGTAATTTCAGCTTTCAGGTAGACTAGCCTCTGTACTGCCTACTTGTCATTGATCAAGCATTCTACAGCTTTAACCCAACTTCCAATTTCTGGGTTGTGATCCAAATATCTAAGGTGGTTCGTTTAGCATTCAATAAGAATTTCCCCGTTCAAAAAATCAAACCATGGGGACTGTGAAAGTCAAAAACTGAGAAACCTCTAGAATCACAATTGGCTGTGGGGGAGTCAGAAGCTTTTAAATCATTCAATCCAATTAAGGCAAAGTGAACATCAAAATTCATACATCACGAATCAGACTACTACAGGGTAAGAAAGGGATCTTCATTGAAGTTTATTGGCTGAGCAGTGTATATAACTAACCCGCTTCAGCAGACTGACTCTGTCTTGCAAACCCTCAAGAGCTCTTTCATTATCTTGCTCGTCAATTTCATGGGAGTAAGGAGCAGAAGCTCTGATGCCACCCTCCTCAATGCTATCAAAAAGTGCAGTTCTGTTGTTCCTGGTATCCCTGCATAACAAACGATGGCTTCAGTCAATATGACGAATAATACATGACAACAAGGAGTACACACTTGCTCTATGTTGAGTGGTGCACCTACAGCTATAGTAGCTTCAGGAGAAGGCAAAAAGTAAAGATGTAAGTATACAAAGTTAGAATACCTTTTGTGCATGAAAGAACTACAGTCTCAGGTTCGCCTTCTATGTAAAGCAAAAGCACCTATATTAAATTCAACTCACAAAAGCAGGTTGATCCCCAGAAATAAAACAGAAAACAAGTATATTTGCAAAGCCTTATTATGCATAATAGGATACTTTCAAAGCCAATAAGGTTGTATTTCCAAAAATAATACCTAATAGCTCATAAGAAAACTATGTCATTTGTGTGTGATACAGTGGAATGATCTGGCCAATTTACCGCATCATCAAACACATCAAAGTTCAAACTACTTTTATTTCAGAAGATTTATGCTAGTGCGATGTGCTCTACAATTCCTCGAGAAAAAGATAGCAGATGATGTTAATAGCAAGCCCTCAATTGACAGCTGTGTTAGACTTCAGAGAGAGTGAAACTGAGAATGGACCAGGTTGAAGAACAACAGAACCACACCATGTGAACAATCAATATTCTTAGCCCCCTGCACCCAGCTTCTACATGTTCAACCGAAATCAAATTAAACCTGCACCTCCTAAACATATCTAGAGCATCACTCAAGCAGAATAAGAATCAACTTCTAAATCCATATTCCAGATTAAAGAATTCACCAGACAGATTGTTCGCAGAGGGAAACTAATGCCCCCGGCCCAGGTAGAAGAATCGACATACCTAAGGCCCTGAATCCATCTGGTACTCAGATCTACAAATAATAACACATGCCACCATAAACCCAGGGAAAAAACCCTTATGCAGCCAATAGCTGAATACAACAAACATATCCCTAGCCAGGCCGTGACGATTCAAACAGGAAATCTTCAAACACAGAAGAGCACGAAAGAGAAGAAACGAACCGTCTAGAATTCATGGCTGGAACGATCACGACTCCGGCCCCACTCTCTCTCTATAAGGGCGATTCTGCACTATCTATCTCCACTTCCGGGAGGCGAGAAAATTGTCGCTTCTGAAACTGCAGAAATTGAAGGCAGAGACGTCAAAGAGACGGAAATGAGTAAGGAACACATTGGGATTACGCAAACGAGACTGATGGTTACAGGACGAGCTAGGATCCCCATCTAAAAGAGATGAGAAAGAAATTACAGCAAAGCTTACAGGAGGAGGTTTCCTTTTTGTTCTTCTCTTTTACTTCAGCTAGCGACGGCGAGACGCGGAGGAGAGTATAGCTAGCCCTTGGTGGCAAACAGAACGCTTATAGTGAGTAACCTTATGGTGAGTAATCATGAGTAACCAGCCCACATCAGCATGACATCAGCATTCTCTCTCTCCTGGAAAGCCTTTAATTTTCCCCTCTTTAATCTTTGACGGACGATTTCTCACTCATTTTAAGTCGAAATTTAATTTTTTTTGCACAGTTAGATCAGATTAATTGTGCTCTTCAAAAAGATATCCACTTTAATATATTTTTCGAACAAAAAAAAACGAGCCATTTTTTACCAGTCTATACCATATGGTATTGACTGGTATTGAAATAAAAGCATACATATGGTTTGAAAAACGTACCATGGTGGTATGAACAAACCAAGACTGTAGGATGGTTGAATGCATGATAGTAGAAGTATATTAATTGTCATTTACGACTTTTAACATTGTATACCATACAATACCACCCCGTACCAGGGTGGTATTGTATGGTATTGTGTGGTATTTTTTGGTCCTGTAATTTGTTTACTTAGAAATTTGTAGATCCAATAGATCATGATGAACTCATCCTTTCTGTGCAAACTTTTTCAAAAACGAATTAAAAACGAAGAAGATACCATACAATACCACCCCGTACCAGAGTGGTATTGTATGGTATTGTGTAGTATTTTTTGGTCCTGTAATTTGTTCACCCAGAAATTTGTAGATCCAATAGATCATGATGAACTCGTCCCTTCTGTGCAAACTTTTTCAAAAACGAATTAAAAACGAAGAAGATACCATATGGTATGCAGTTGGTACCGAGAGGCCAGAATTTTTTTTTTTCTAAAAAAATATTGAAAATTATTCTCATTTGGTAGAGCACGATGAAATCGTTCCATCTGTGCAAAAAAAATTAAAATCCGAGTTAAAACGAAAAAGATATGAGCCGATTAAGAAAGCTAGGAAACATAAAAATGGTCCTTAATTTTTCATCCTTAGATCTGGATTTTCTAAATGAAGGGTCCAGATTTTGTTATTTATGGATGCATAACCCATGGTTATGCACCCTATCTTAAGCCCACAAATTCTGGTGAACTATTCTTCAGTTGTCGTAACTTTGTAAGTGTAAAAGGGCAACTCTGCTAGGATTTCCCGGCTAGTTTGGTTCAGTTTTGTTCAGTATTTTGAGGCTAAATTACATGTTTGGTCACTCAAATTATATAAATCTTTCACGTTTGTCACTCAAATTACTTTTCTTTCTTATTCGCCACTAACTTTACGTATCGTTTCACCGTTAGTCACTGGCCGTTAGTTTCCATCAAACTTGGTTAACTCCGTCAGCTTTTTATGACATGGAAAACGGAACTGCTGACTGGACCATTAACTTAATGACATGTTAATTAAAAAATTAAAAAAAAAATCCCTACAACGCCAGAAACTTATGCGCCATATTCCTTCCTCCTCCCCGAACTTCAGAAACCACCATACATTCCTTCGCCTCACTGTAGAAGCCCCAGCTGCCTTCCATTCCTTCTATGAGCTCCAAAACCACTGTCCCCCTTCCAACCTAAACCCAAGAAGTCCCCTGTTGACTGGCGCTCCGGACTCGCTTGTCGATTGCGACTAGCGCAACCGACCAGTTGGTTTCTTTTGTCTTTCGATTGAATTTCCTTCTTTTGACTTTCGATTTCTTGCCCGTATGTTTGGTGGTTGGTTTCTTATCCTGGGTTATTGACCAACCCATCGAACCCACTGGGAACGATTCTCGACAGGGACACATTGACAAGCATCGCCGCCTTCACTACCAGTAACAACATTCACTTGATTTGCGACCAGATCTGCTCAGCCACCGTCTTCGGCAATCACAACTACAACAGCATCACCGAGATCGTCGACGAGGACTGGAAGAGCGGCAACAATAGTCTCAACCAAGACTTGGGTGGGTATCCAGTGCCTGAAATCCAGCATCGTCGGGCTGTTCGTGTGGATGGATTTCCGTGGCCAACAATAGTCTCGACTAAGACTTAATAAAAATAGGGGTTTTGGAAGGGTGAAAGTTTGGCCGCTAGCCAAACTTGACGATACGTGTGGGTGTGTATTTTCTGGTGGGGGAAGGGAAGTGGGAGGTGATTTTGAAGCGGTTCTTACGGTGGGCGGTTGATGATTTGGTGCGGAGGGCGACGACGACGAGACTGATAAGGAGGAAAAGGTATTTGGTTGCAGGGGAGACTTATTTTGTGTTTTTTTATATTTTTTAATTAACATGTCATTAAGTTAACGATCCAGTCAGCAGTTTTGTTTGCCACACCATCAAAAAATTGACGGAGTTAAGAGAGTTTGACGGAAATTAATGGTCGGTGACTAATGGTGAAACGATTCATAAAATTAGTGACGAAGAAGAAAGAAAAGTAATTCGAGTGGCAAACGTGAAAGATTTATGTAATTTGAGTGATCAAACGTGTAATTTAGCCGGATTCTGATGGAGTATTTTACTTCTCGAAAAAACTTGATGCATTTTTTTTAGAAAAGCAGAAAAGACATATAAATTTAAATTATTTGAAAAATAGAAGTTCTCACTTCTCACTTTAATATAACTAGTTTTTTGGCATGCATTTTGCGCCGGGAGAAAAATAATTTATCTTTGAAACTTAATCTACTACATAATAATATCTTAATTAGTATGGAAGATCTCGATAATACGTTTGTTGACTAATTTATAAAAAATAATTATCCATACATAAGTTTTACAAAATATATTTGTAAAGTTACGTAACTATTATGGACCGTTATTAAGGAAAACTCTGGTAGGATTTCCTGGCTGGTTTGGTTCAGTTTTGTGCAGGAATGGTCGGATTCAGATTGAGTATTTTACTTCTGAAAAAATAAACTCGACACTTTTTTTAAAGAAAAGAAAAATGAATTTAGATTATATGAAAATAGAGGTTCTCACTTCTCACTCAATTATAATTTTATTATTATAAAAAAAATATTATTTTATTATAGTTACATTATACATACAAAAAATGAAATTAAATCATTGGTTTAATTCACCTGCGTAGCCATAACTTTCACGATTTTGACAAATATAGCCACTTTTTGAAAAATACACAGATATAGCCATTCCGTCTATAACGTTAACGGAATAGTAATAAATGCTGATTGTACTAACAATTTTTGCTGACATGGCGATTGTTCATAAAAATCTATACCTAGATGTAAATTATTCTTTTCTAATTAATTGAAAATTTCTAAAAACTACTATTCCCTTCCGCCGCTTATGCTTTTCCTTTTCCTCTTCCTCTTCCTCTTCCTCTTCCTCTTCCTCGCAACTCTCAACCTCCCACCTCTATTTTGCCGTGTCTTCAAGCTCTCCCCCTCAATTGATTCAAGAAACCAGATCGCCTTGAAAAATCCCAAATCGTTTGAATTTTCACCATCAATAGCTCCATTGAAGCTCTGTAGACTTCTTCCCCTTCCTCTTCTTCTCTCGTCGCTGCCAATTCTTCAGCCGCATCCACCAGCTCCGTCGCCGACCAGAAGCAAGCGAGCCAGAGGACTCGACGCGTGCGAACTGCGTTCCGTGACGACAAGGATCGAGACGACGAGGGCTGGGGTGTAACGTCCCGTATAGTCTACCTCACTTCTAATATTTCCTCTTGGCCATAAAAGGTATTATCACCAAGCTCGTTAGCATCAAGTAGCATCGAATGGCTCCTTGACCTTTTTAATTCCCCCACTCAGTCCAAGGATGTGATGAGACAAAATTTCGAATAGTTTGTTGCTCCAGCTCATTCAGTACTTATCGTTGGACCTTAAATCGAAGTCGAGGTATCACATTTTCCTCCCTCCTTAAGAAAATTTCAACCTCGAAATTCGTTGACCGTTATAACTCCAAGTCTCACCTTAGGTACTCCTTCTACTATAGGAATTTATATTTTCTTTACCTTCCCAACCCCTTTATCGATGCTTGGTTTTAGCTTTGACACTAGAACCCAGTTCAGTAGCTCCTCATCATTCCTTCTCAAAAGTGCTAGTTGCCTTCTTTAGCATTTATTAGAACTTCCCTCGAACATTCCACTTTCTTGTCTATCCTTGGCTAGCTTGATGACTATACCTAGAAAATTTTCTAGATCCCAAATTTTATCACACCTTGGTCCGAAGATACTCCTCATATCCCTTAGATATTTTGACCTCTTGTGACTACTGTAACTTGTGGAATCCCTCAAATACAGTATCCTCTATCTTGTAATTATTGGTTACATAGTGCGCTGGCTCTTTCCTCATTATTTACATCGTTACTCTTGATGATTTACTCCTTCATTTCAATGACTTTCCTCCGATCTAGTTCCCCAAATCCATGATTCCTCTTCTTAGGGACGTACTGTATCCCTAAGAGATTACCCAGTCCACGTAAGTACACGATTGTGCCTCCTCCAAGCCTTGATTCATTGATCCCTTAAAACCCATTCATGCTCCCCATGATCTACTGAATTCGTCCATGATTTGCTTACGTGCCCCTAGTGTTGCTTAAAGTCTAACCTCTGCTTGGGTCGTAGCCCTACGCTCGATTCTCACGACTCAACGAACCTTCCATACATCCTTTCCTCTAGATTATGGCCGCCATTTGCCATAACTCCTTGGCTACTGTCCGTCGACGTCCTAGATACTTGGCATACTCCTGAACCTTATTCTGACCAGTTCGCATCCCGGTAGGATATAAGCTGCCTTGAACCTCCTCTTCTCACTCATGAAAAGCTTTCCACTAAAAGATCATCTGTTCTTTTCTCCTTCCCGGGATGTATCATAACCCCGTGGGCATCCTAAAGTTATTTCCTTTTCATGAATAGAGTATACTGGAGATTCTAAAAATTCTCGAAAAACTCTTTAACAGACACTCCCTTCTTCCTTTCTTTTAAAAAAACTGAAACCTTGGAAAACGCAGATCGTCACTCCAGTATTCCTTGGAGACCAAGAAACAGAGGAGTGCCGGCTCTGATACCAAAATGTAACGTCCCGTATAGTCTACCTCACTTCTAATATTT